CGCTGACGTGGAGCGGGACTGCACTGCAGGTTGGCTCGGAAGATGGGCCATCGAGGGGGCTGATGACGCAGCAGTCTGGCTCGGTAGTTGTGCGCTTGGCGGCCTAGGTGGACGTCGAAGTTGGGTTGGCCGAACAGGTGGCACATCATTCTGGGTTGGCCGAACAGGTGGCACATCATTTTGGGTTGGCCGAACAGGTGGCACAGCATTCTGGGTTGGTGGAAGTTGTATAGGTGCACTAACCCATGGTGATGAAGTAGTCATAGCTGGAACAGTGACACGCCGGGGGATATGTTGGAATGGAAAAACATCCTCATTGAAGCGAACGTGCCTGGCATAATAGATTCGTCCAGTCTCTCTGTCCAAACACCTGTAACCAAGAATAGATTCTGGGTACCCCAGAAATACACAAGAAGTGGACCTAAAATCCATTTTGTGCTTGTTATACGGACGGAGACACGGGAAACACTCGCATCCAAATACCCGTAATAAGTGATAATTGGGCGATTTGTGATGCAAGCGGGAGTAGGGACTGATATTTTGTGTAACTGTGGACGGGAGGCGGTTAATTAAGTGAACCGCAGACTCAAACGCGAAAGGCCAGTATTTTTGTGGAACATGACTTTGGGCTAGTAAGGTGAGCCCGGTTTCTACCACGTGGCGGTTACGACGCTCTACACGCCCATTTTGTTCGTGGGTATGTGGAGCTGATTGGCGGTGCGCAATCCCCGCGGTGGTAAAAACCGTATGAAGTTTACGGTAATCTCCACCCATATCTGATTGAATACATTTTATTTTGGTTGCAAAATAATTTTCTACATATGTGCGAAACTTGGAAAACACAGAATATATATCAGACTTTAACTTTAGCGGGTAATACCAAATAAACCGCGAAAAGTCATCAACAAAAAGAACGAAATACTTGAAACCATCTACTGATGGGACCGGAGCTGGTCCCCAAATGTCCGTAAACACTAAATCAAGTACATTTTGACTAGATTGTTCAATTCGGGCCAATGGGAAGCGCGCAGACTTGCCCAGTTGGCATGCTGTACATAGCTTATTTAAAGATGAAAAAGAACCATCGATCGGACAACCAGAAAGAACCTGACGCAATACGCGTGAGTGCGGGTGCCCGAGGCGATTATGCCATATTCGGGGAGACACTTTGGTGGAAACTAACGCAACCGGGGAAGTTTGTGCGAGTGCGTACATCCCGCCACGACTAGGACCGCTAAGTAGAACCTGCTTGGTTGAACGATCCTTCACAAAAAAATGGGAAGGGTGAAACTCAAAATACATGTCATTATCATGTGCGAACTTATGTACAGATAAAAGAGATGCTTGTAATTTAGGAACATGAAGAACACTATTTAGAAACAGTGACCGGGAACTTGACGGTAAAGCAACTGAACCTGTGTTCAAGATCGACAGACCTGAACCATCGCCGACACGCAACGTTTCGTCTCCGCCATACTGCTCCACATGATTCAGGGCCGCCACATTAGGTGTGGCATGAGCGTTGGCCCCGGTGTCGGGAAACCAGACGTTAGAGAAGGGCGCCGTGTTGAAATCCTCCTGAGTCTGATGGGTGGTCATATGAGCTTGCGGCGGCAGACCCGTGTGGTGTCCAGGGTGCGGCGGCGCTGGGCGCTGGGCGTTGACATCGACGAATCGTCGATAGCAGGTAAGGGCCGTGTGGCCGGTTGCATCACAGAGCTGGCAGCGTACTCCACCTCCGCGACCTCTTTGACCACGGCTGCGACCGCGATTATTATTATAGCGGCCACGACCGCGGTTATTGTTAGGAGAAGCCAGCGGGTGTTGCGCAACCATTGCCGCCGGTGGATGTTGCGGAAGATGCGACGAGGCAGACTCCTCCGGAAACAAATAGTGGTGAGTGGTCAAGAGGTCCACTACTTCCGGGATCGTAAGTGGTGCCCTCTTGGTAGTTAGAGAGGCGATGAGACCCCGGTACTCCGGTCGGAGACCTCGAAAAACGTGCAAATTATGTTCATCCAACTCGATCGGCTGCCCTGCCTGGGCAAGTTGTTCGACCAGCACTTGCGCCCTGCCCAGATACTCTGCCGGAGTGGAGTCGCCTTGCCGGAGACCATGGAGTTGAGACAGAAGGCTCAGCGATCGCTCCCGGGATGCAGAACCGAGAGCGGTTTCAATGGAAATCCACACCGATCGGGATGTGTCGTGACCAACAGCTAGGTAGAGAACTTCTTCTGCCATGGACGACATCAGCATACTCAATATTGATGGGTCCTGTTGGACCCAAATGGCGTAGAGAGGATTGACGGCTGGTGTGGTCGACGTGTCAGCGAGCCTTTCAGGCGGACATGGGAGAGTTCCGTCCACATATCCGTACAGATTCTGGCCGCGTAGGAACGACACGAGTTGTGCCCTCCAGAAAAGGTAGTTGGTGGCAGTGAGTTTTAGGGAGATATAATGGTGGGCTTGGTGTAGCATATTTGGTTGACGATGATCGGAGCCGGCAACCGCATCAGTAGAGCCGCCGGTGGAGTCGGCAATTGGAGATGGATTTTCATCGGTGGCCATAGGATCGACTAGGCTAAACTGATACCAAATTAATGAAAGAATATGTTGGTTATTAATCTCTAGAATAATACACTGCTATTTATACAATAGAGACTAGTTAGAAGATAGGAAATAGCTACACAATTAACTCTAACTAGAGCATTATATTCTAACAGACGGATATGACTAATAACCAATGAATAGTAAACAGGACAGGCAAAATGGGACAGAGGGAGTATTCAATAATTATATTATTTATCAAATTTAAATAATGTAAATAAATACTCAAAATATTATATAATATTCTAACAATATCTTATTATAATAAAGTATGTATAGTACCTAATATCAAATTTTGCTTTATAATGACTTGGTGTTGGGATTAAATAAATAAAAAAGGGACCATATACCCATCACTTGTCAAACTACAAAAATACCATGGGCATACAAAGAGAACTATACCAAAAAAAAAAAAATCACAAATAGTGAACCTAATCTGTGGGTATTTATAAGCAAGCTAATGGACATCTAAAAGCTAGAGTGCAAAGTGACTTTGCTATACATAAATTTTGAATTTGAAAATTTTAAATAAATGTAGTCAGCACAACAAATAATGTATTTGGCTACCCATAAGTATTAGAATTTGCATATACTAAACTGTTACACTAAATATAATGTAATATTAGTAAGCGCAGGCTATGTGTATTTTGTAAGGTGTCCAAGATAATATATTTTTTTAGTAAATGCAGGTCATGCGTGTTGCTTCCATGGTGGACCAGGGTCACCTTCCATGGTGGATCCTGGTCCAAAACGACATCGTTTAATTTTATATCAAATGTCAATTAGTACATCATATTTAACAACATTATCATAGACTATGTTCATAATATTTGTTCTATATGTCCATAAATCAAACTTTAGTGTCCGTAAACACAAAACTAAATATACATTATATGCATTTTCATTCATCTATAGTTAATTCATAATATTCATTCTATATGTTCATAAAAATAAAGCTTAATGTTCATAGACAATATACTATGAAAGCATCATGTTTAGTAATATTCATTGTGTGTTATACTCATAATATTTGTTATATATGTCTATAAACATAAACATTAAAGTTCATGAACACTAAACTAAATATACATCATATATATTTACATTCACTCTATAGTAGGTTCATAATGTTCATAAAAACAAAATTTAATGTATATAAATATTACTATAAGTGCATGACTATGTAATTTGTATCACATTTGGTCTTGTCGTCCAATTTCCCAGCTAACTATTGTTGGAAGTGCTACATTTGCTTCTTTCGGAATGACCACTTATGAAAGGAGCACTGCATGCATTTACGTACTTATTCCGGAAGGAGCACTTCCGACAATAGTTGGCCGAAAAATTACATAGTCATGCACCTAATTAGAAAATTTTAATAGTCAATAATCAAATGCGATTCATGTATAATAGTCAGTGAACTAAAAGTAAAATTTATTCTAATATTTATTCTATACGTCTATAAACATAAGTTTTAATGTCCAAAAATCCTAAACTAAATGCACATCATCATATGCATTTCTATTCATTTTATTGTAGGTTCATAATGTTATTTCTATATGTTAATAAAAACAAAGCTTAATGAGTTAATGTATATAAATATTACACTAAAGTAATGACTTTATGTACCTATAGATTTATTTAAAAATTTAAAATAAAATATATCAATATGGATGTCATTCAAAAGATCTTAATTAGAACTTTTTAATGATATATTTTTTATACATTAGTTGTACTTTTACAAAAAGAAAAAGAGAAAAATAAACTCAAGTTAAAATTAACATAAAATTACAATATGAAAGAAAGTATAATTAATTTTAATTTTAAATGACATTTTTGTCAAAATAATTATATTACAGAAATGCCCCTAAGTTTTGGAGGAAAACCTTTCTAGGCACTTTTATTATTATTATTATTATTATTATTATTATTATTATTATTATTATTATTATATATATATATATATATATATATATATATATATATATAATGTCGATATAATGTACATTCAGTGCACAAATAATATATTTTTAATATATTAAAAATGTACATTGTATTTAGAGAAAATATATTATTTGAGTACTGAAAGTACATTATTTTGTATAATGTATATTCAGTACACGAATAATAACGTATTTTTTAGTATATTAAAATTTACTTTTTATTTTGCTGGTGGACTATTTGTTAGGAAATAGGTCATGGGCCTAAATATTTGACTATCAATAGGATAAATAAATATGTTAAAAATAGACATATTGTCTTATTTAAACTCTTATTCTATTTTGAATAGGATTGTATTCTTTATATTGATTTGATTGTGATTGAAAATCATTATTTATATATAGATGTATATTAACCCTCACAACATAATGTATGAAGGCTGAAGGCAAATAATGTCCGGCGACCAAGGAGCGAAAGGTAAGTTGGACTCCCCTATACTTGGTAACTTTTTCATAACAATTACCCAATCACTCCCATAATTTTCAGTCAATATATGCTATGTGCATCATGTAATTTTTTAAAGAATTGATCAACTGAAGTTCATACAGATAAATTTTGATGGTTTAAATAAATTAATCTGATCTCACATTGCAGGATGCCAATAGCGTAGTATAAAAAAATAAAAAAATTCTAATGCACACATCAAAATTGACAAAAATAAATATGTTAAAATCCAATTATTTAAATTACTAGACATTTGCTTCAGTGTAGCCTTTATTTGTAATTATATTCTTTTTAAGTACCCCAACATCATACCATTTATGCAGGTACTGGGGTATTAATAATGCTTGGCGATGGGCATATTGATTTGCCCGCAGATATTATAATTGAGATTATATTGAGGTTCCCTGTGAAATCCATTTATAGATCTAAGTGTGTGTGCAGAGATTGGTATAATGTAATAGAAAGTCGTGAGTTTAGAGAACATCATTATGCACTGCAAAATGATTCAACATTTATCATTGAGGATTATTCGGGTATCGTAAAGATCTTTACAGAAGAAAAGTTGAGAGTTGTGGAAAATATTAAGATATCAGTGTTGAATTATAGTGAAACCCTTGTGAAAAATGTTGATAAGATGCAGGTGTGGGATGATTGTGAAACCCATCCGTGTCGTGGCTTATTCCTTTTGCGCTTTTATCGTTATCGCTTTGGCATATTGAACCCTAGAACTAGAGACTTCAAACTTCTCCCGAAGATGCCCGATGTTGTTACTCGTGCTCTTTACTTACAAGATTATGCTTATAAGATTATGCTTATGGATTAGGTTGGGACCCTAGTAGAGATGAGTACAAGGTTGTTTTCTTCCACTATGATGGTCTAGGTGGCTTGACAGATCAATTGAATAGTGATTCTCTAGTTGTCGCGGTATATTCATTGAAGAGCGATTCTTGGAAACTTCTCGACTCTCCTCCGCCTAAATTGAAAAGCGGATGCATTAAAAATAGTAAGGATTGGAATATACACATAAATGGGTTTTGTTACTGGCTAACATCATATGGCCACCATCCTTCACTAGTGTCTTTTGATGTGGCTCGAGAGAGATTTGGGATGGTGACATTACCCCCTAAAGTGATGAATGGAAATCACACAGTCCTTTCCACTTACTACAATTCACCAGCATTGTTGTATTGGAGGAGATATGAGGTGATGGAGATTTGGGTTTTGCAAGAACAACAACAATATTGGACAAAAGCTTTCAGCTTTAGACAAATGGATCCTGAAATACGAGCAATCGGAATTTGGAACAACACTCATGTTCTGCTGCAAAGAGGATATGCAAACAAACCTTCGAAACAATTTTTTATGTATGATATGAATAATGACCATCATGAAGAAGAGAAGGTGGTCTTCACAAGTGACCACCGTCTTACAACTTTTCCCAATTATAAAAAGAGCCTATTCTGCCCAACCAAGATGGCTAAGGATACAAACTTGTAACTACAATGTCACGAGTTCGAATCTCAGTCCTCTTGCTTTGAGCCGATCAGCTATGGGCAACCTAGGTTGATTTACCTCTTTGTGATTCTTTGTCTGTTAAGAGTCACAAGACGAGGTTTATCCAGTGTACCTATGACATTTTCACTCTTATATTTTCAATGTAAGACTCTATCTTTAATTTTCCATTCTCTAGAAGTTTTTACTAATTTTCCATCTGCAATAAAATGAGGTTGAATGAAAAACATTATGAATATCAGACTAACCATTTCTCAAATTTGCTTCCTTCCATTTGCACTGCACTGCTTTATCACTGAATTCATCCCTTCCCTTGTGCTTCTGCAACTACCTTTACCCTTTACCTGTAACTGCAAAAGGTTTTGCATGCAACTATCAACTTGGACAAATTTAAATTGGTGAAGATAAATCAGAAATAAGCCATGATTTAACCACCTATACAAGGGAGTCCCAAAATTGTCAAACAATATAATAATACTCCTTTCTGAAGGTACATGCATGAGTTCAAGATCATATGATCAAACTTTGTGATACTTGTACTTCTGCCCTATATTAAATCTACTTAGTCTACTGCCCACTCCTTCTCGCACCAGCGTTCTCACTGCCTCGGCCCCTTCTTTCAGTGCTTCATCTACCTGTTACAATATGCCCCGCCCAAAGGATTATATTTCAATTAAACTGGCTTATATATGTTTTACGCCTAATGAAAGCCCAACATAAAGGTAGTTGATGTTCATTCTTACCTGTTTCCGCTCTGTTTCACTGAATTTCTGGAGAAGAAAAGCCTTCATATCCATTGCTCCCGGTGGGTTTCCTATTCCTTCACATGTATGTATGTTTTCAGAGATTCATTGTCTAGTAGTCAGTTTATATTACTGCCCATATGGTTAAAGATATTCATGCAGACTGACCTATGCAAAGTCGTGGAAATTGATGGCAACCATCCAGATGCTCCATTACACTTTTCACCCTATCATTCAAAGAAAACAGTGTTCATACTTCTTAACAACTCACACTGACAACACTCTAATAATTAATATGCAAAGTGAATATAATATAGGGGTGCAGCAGATTTAATCACACAATTATTTGGGAAATATCACACTACATATCTTTAAGTATCTATTTTGTGTTTGCAACAGATTTGCCAAAAATAAAAAGACAAAGATGTTTGCAATGAATAGGAGTGTTCAAGCTTTAACAATTCTTTTCTAAGAAATATCCAAAAATAATACCCGTTATGATGGCCATGTCCTCGCTTGGGCTTAAGCCTCAAAACACCATTTGGTAAACTCATCTCGTCATGAACCTAAAAGGAGAGAAAGAACTCCAGCAAATTTATAAAATGCAATGCAGAAATTCATTTATAGCAATATTTAATTATCTTGAATTCTTGATTAAAAACCTCCACACTCCAAACAATCAATTTGACAATATGGAAAAAACTTGTACAGTCATACCAGTAGGATATGTCGCAAGGGTACTTGATAATATGCAGCAAGTTGTCCAACCTTGTCAAATACAAAATACAAAATAATATTTATACCAAATGCATTAAAAAAAAAATTATACAATCTAATGACACCAACTGAGGGCATAAAACTTAAATTTTCATACATAAACACCAGATGGATGGGAAAAACAGAATGAAACAAATAAAATGTATGTAATCTATACATATGCATGTAACCTATATATGAGGTGCCAACTGCTTGAATGCAGCAACCTAAGAGGGAAAATATGTATGTAGGACTGTAGTGGTGCTAGAAGCTGTTAAGCAAGAAGTTCACATCCATTAATCACATCAATTTAAGAAGGAAAATATGTACATGGAAGAACAGTAATTGTGCTAGAAGCTATGGAGCAAGAAGTTAACATCCATGAATCGCTCAGTTTAAACAGACCATGAGGTCATTATTCTAAAATAATATGATTTGATAGTTCTTCTTTGTAAAATACTACTAGAAAACAAATATACACTGGAGTTTAATTTATAAAATGGATGGCTGCTGAGAACAAACCGATTCTCCACTGAAATTCATATAAGTCTGAGGCTTTGCTAATACCACTGGCACCTCTCCAATAGAACCTGTACTAATTGCACAAAAAAACTAAATAAATAAACCTTCAATGCTCATACAACAACTAGGGCATGAAGTAATTAATTAAGGGGGGAAGGCAACTAAATAATCACCTATTCCAATCAATGCTTTTGACTGTATTGTGTTCAACAAAATGCCCTCTTCTTGAGAAATCTGATCTATCATTTCAAAACCAACCTACTACCAAAGCCACATCAGTTTAACATAATTTATAGACTTTCAAGAAATGTTTAAAAAATGCTACCAAAATTGAAGAAAATGGAACTATACAAACTAGATTATCACATGGTGAATGCATTTACATTGTGCCGCGTTCCATGGTACTTGTTTCCAGGGTTCCCCAGTCCTGCGACCAACCATGGAGTGTACTCAACTTTGGCTCCATTAGGCTCTGGCAGTGAAGCTGATGCTCTAATCCTCACAGGAGCTAAATGTCTTGGATGAGAACAGGGGCATCTTGGATAGGGTACCATGCAACTTTTAGCAGGAGATAAAGAATACAACATTGACCTAAAATTCAACAAAAGTAAAGAATAAACAAAAATATCAGTATGTACCAAAATGTCTAGTTTAAACACAAACATCTATTCACCCCACTCAACATAGCCAAGAGAAAGATGTTTTACGAAATTGAATGGGAATTAAATTTAATAACTTTACAAATCTATAACTAGGAGTATATGAACCCTTAATATCAGTTCCAAAAAGCCTTTCTTAAAACAAGCCAGACAATAATAACTATCATGATAAGAGAACTGAGAAATTAAGAGAAACAAAACCTTCTTTTTGCTTTCTTTAAACAATGCCTATTACACCAACTGAACCAGTGTCAAAGCAGTAAATAAATTATATTATATTAAGTAACAAATTTTGTATGTGAAAAATTCTAAAGTAATACTCCCTAGTCCTTCTGTCTCATTTTGTTTGTATGGTTCGGTTAACGAGGCTTGACTGAAGTTATTTTTAATTCAATTTTTCATAATATTAAGTTTAGTATTAGTATATAAAATTTATATATTTAGAAACTATACTTAAAAGTACTAACACAAAAAATCAAACTTAAAAATAATTAAAAAGTACTAATAAGCAAAGAAAGATTTGGTTTGACCATACAAGCAAACTAGGACAAATGGATTAATTGACATATGTGTCCATCATACTTACTATTGGACAGATTATAATTACAAATCATTATAATAATAATAATCTACACAATCATGTATAAAATGATATGGTTCTCTCTATAACTTTGGCCCCCTTAACTCGAGTTTTCTGGCTCCGCCACTGGTTGTGCCTTCCTTATATTACGAAGAAGAGGATAGCATTTTACAAAATTATATTATAGGATTTTAAAATTTGCTTTCGTTCAGCAGATAGCTGTACTGTTCTACCACTCCGGATTCCAATTGCCACTCCACAATCACAACCTGAATCTCATATTCATATATATATTTGCATTGTCTAACTACTGAAAAATGGAAATAACTATTACGGAGTATAATTTAGTGTCCGAAAATGTTAATAATTTTCTCCAAACATGACCGTGAAGCCATTCTCATTTGAAATAACAAAAATTTTACAATAGAACAGAAAAACTTACATGAAAGTCGAGGGCGAGCAAGGACGACAAGGCAGGCGGTCGTCTCTGAAGCCTCTTATCTCTCTGCCTGTCACCGACGAGTGATATATGAAGAACTGAAGAGCAGTGAAGGATTGGATTGAGCGAGTCGTGAGTGAGAGCGGAAGGCGTGACGGAGTAAGGAAGACCAAAGCAATTGCCTATTCCTATTTCCTAACAGTGTAGCTGTGTAATGTAAGGAATAAGGATAGACCCCCGTATCTACGTCCTCTTGCCCTCACCATTTTAGTAAATGTGAAACTCACCAAAAATGCCATAAAAATTAAATTAAAAATAACATTACTCAAATCTCGTTAACAAATCAGACAAATGTTGCAGCAAAAAATTATATTGTTTTATTCAAGTATTTATATTAGATTATGATTCTTGAAATGAGTAACTGAGTATTATTAACTTTTTAATTTTTCTAGATGTCACTTTTGATTTTTTTTTTTTAAGTACTGTAACGGATTCAATCTTGAGAAGTCAACCTCAAATATCGCCGGTAAATAACTCCCGGCGAAGTCTTTAGATTCACCCGTCATGTTGTTAAGAAATATTGATCACTCAGTTGGTTTGTGTAATAGTACGCGGTTGGTAATCACCAAGTTAACAGGCGGTGTAATTGAAGAGTTAATGGATAGTGCTAACAAAGGAACAAAAGTCTTTGACACCCAGAATGTCAATGTCACCGTCTGATACCAGGTTGCCATTTAAGTTTCAAGGAAGACAATTCCCGTTGATGTTATCATATGCAATGACTATTAACAAAAGTCAAGGTCAAACATTGTCACATGTAAGATTGTTACATAAAAACCCAGTTTTTGTGCATGGGCAATTGTACGTGGTTGCATCTCGAGTTAATAATCCAAGTGGTCTTAAAATATTGATTGCCAACGACTCAATAACAAATGCTACATCAACAACCAACGTGGTATACCACGAAATCTTCAATAATTTGTAATTTTGTGACAATTATTTTTTTATATTGTATGTTAAAGTATTTTCATTATTGTTTCTATTTTGTAATTTCAAAATTTTAATATAATAATGTATTAAATTATTCACACAATTAGACAATATTCTATTCATCCCATACATCGCACGGGCACTATACTAGTATATATATATATATATATATATATAATGATAGTTTAAACTTTTGGTTCCACAATCTCTTATGTGACTAATATTAACAATCATTGTTATCGAAAGATCAAAATCACCACTCTTTCTATAAATATATTGATAAAAATTACTATTTTTTTCATCACTTTAAAAGATTCAAACGACATAACTGTAATTCTCCCAAACGGAAGGTCACAGGTTTGAATCTCAGTGGGAGCATTAACTCCTTATGCTTCACTAAGTTAGGTATATATGGAGAGATACTACATTGTAAAAGATTCAATAGTACTCAAAAAAAAAAAAAAAAAAAAAAAAAAAAAAAAAAAAAAAAAATAGTAAATCAACTATCAACCAAATCATTCTAGAGTTATATCAGGAATTGTCCCATAAGAAAAAAATGTATAGGATTTTACTTATCAAAACCTACTACTAGCACAACAACAGCAAACATCTTATTTCCAGGGCAACAACCAACAGGTGCACTATTACAGAATTCTATCTATTTACACAAAATATTTTAACAGAGTTAGCTGGATGGCTTTGCACCAAGTATTTTGGAAAGCTCCTTTATCAGAGGCTTCTCTTTATAGTCTTCTCCCCTTTCCAAATGCCATTTCTTCGACATGTCTTCCGCCTGAAACACAGCTCAGTTTTAGTTTCACAGCAAGCTGAATGGTTAAGATTATGCATTTCACAATGATTTCGGCCAAAACTGTTCTTATTTGGCTTACCCAAGTTCTGAAGGGACTCAGTTGTTCCTTGAGTGCTTCAAATCTCGGATGAATAATGTCTTTTCCTTTGGTCCGTATATCATCAGCCTGTTCAAAGAACACGATGATATATCACTCAAGAATTACAACAGGGCATTGCAAAGTGATCCATAAAAAAGTAGGTCCATGAAATCCCCCGGTTGACCACTTAAATTGTATTGGACCTTCTCAGCTATAGTGCACACGGGTCAAACCACACTAAAAGATTAAATTCAATCAATTAGCTAGTCTAACCCATGACCCTATAAACCCATATATTCTTTCTTATTTTTTTCAATGTGGGACTCTTAACAGATTTAAACTACCAGCCTCGGAATGGCTTTTAACTTGTTTGTTTCGGGAATCATAATGCAAGCAATATATTGTCCATATCTCATGCTTAACAAATTGAGAGAAAATATTGCCGCTTCTGGTTTTACCTTCTACTTCCCTCGCATGTACTACTAGTTACATCACTATATTTTTACTGTTTTACTGATACCCAAGACAACATCTATGAGGATTTCGGGTAGGTGAGAATGTGAGATGGATTCTATGCTTACATTGTGCAGTTCCAGCTTTGAGGCCGCCAATCCAAATGCCAAGGTGGCACCACCGAATACAATAGCAGTAGCACCAGCAAACGCCTTGGCAACTACATAGAACAACAAAATTAATTTTACACCAAATGACAGTAATTAGGAATTAAGTTGGTTCACAGAATAGAAAGCAAATTATAGTTTCGCAATAATAGTGGTAGTAACTTTTTTTTTTTGGATCACTAGGAGGGGATAAGGGTAACCCAGACTTAGTTTCGTCTCTCAAAGATTCTTCTTAGTCAAGGGATCCCCGACTTGTCATTCTCAATAGCTTGTCCCAAATCCAGCGTATTCTCATTCCATTCCAGCCATTTCATTGGCAGAGACACCGCTTTATTTTGCACATACGTATTAGATCACAAGTAATGAGCACATTTTAAAATCTTCAGCTAAATATTAAGTTTATTTATTAAATATAATGTGTATTTACCAAAGCTGTAGTCTGAATTTACCATTCATGGACCATATACAATGCCTTCAATGGGAACATAGAGCCATATAGAGGATGACTTAACTGAGACAAATGAATAATTGGCACCTTTGTTGGACTTAAATTAGAAGGTGGCAGTTGGCCACTGGTAAGGAACCATCCAAAGCCAAATTTCAAAGGCCTATAGAACTCTTATCTACCACATAAAAAGGATTTATTCACGGGATGTAGGGTTCTACCGCAACATGCTATCAATGAAATTTGAGGAAAATGAAAAAGCAACTAGAAATGTTTCGGTTCTTTTCTTTCTTTCTTTTTTTCTTCATGAGAAAAACAAAGATAAGATACTACTAGAATTGTAAGGCATCTACTCAAAGGCACACAAAGCTACTTTCCTTAGAGCTACACAAAGAAACATTTGATACACATGAGGAGATTAAGAATTTACCTTTGGGGGGGGGGGGGGGGGGAAGGCCTAGGTCGGGGAAGAAGGCCGGAGATGCCTTGGCCGATAAATTCAACTCAAGGTCCGGCGCTAATAGAAGTTGCTTACTTTCCTAGTAGCGAAGGAAAAGGGCAGGGCTTTTTGTAGTAATAGTGGGCGGGTCTCGGAAAACAGAGAAATGCATTCTTTCCAGTTAGGCCGAAGTGTTTGGCCTTTCCTTCTCCGCGCCCGCTCACGCTTCGCTGAAAGAGTTTATGAAAAGCCTTTTTCAAGCTCATCTCAGATTCATTAAGGAATCAGACATAGCTTGGTTCTATTCATAACAGGCAACGGGGGGTTGGTGCCAATTTTTTTGATCGTAATAGGTAGTACGAAAAATCTCGAGAGCTTGCTTGTCGAAGATCTCAGAATTATTTGAATTAGTCATAACATAGATTAGCGCTTTACTAATATAATAAAAAGTAAGGCTCTTCTGCTGAGCGAAGCTGCGAGCCACTGGAGCCATTCTAAAAAGGGAGAAATTAGCACTACTTGGTGAAATAGGTTCTTTTAGAATCAATTTAAAACCAATAAAAGAGCAAATCAAATATTCAGAGGTAAAAGAGTGACTCCTACTTTTATTAAGGGAAATTTGCACTTTTCGTCCTTAAGTTATAGAGTAATTGTAGGATTCATCTTTACTTGTTGGTCGTGCTTACTTCTCGTCCTTAAGTTATAGAGTAATTGTAGGATTCGTCTCTACTTGTTAGTCGTGCTCACTTCTCATCCCCAAGTTATAGAGTAATTGTAGGATTCGTCTCTACTTGTTGGTGCTCACTTCTCGTCCCTAAATTATAGAGTAATTGTAAGATTCGTCTCTACTTGTTGGTTTTGCTCACTTCTCATCCCTAAGTTGTAATTGTAGGATTTGTATCTACTTTTTGGTCGTGCTCACTTCTCGTCCCTAAACTATAACTGACGTTGCAAATTTTGGTTACAGCTTAGGGACGAGAAGTGAGCACGACCTGTTAGAAAAGAAGGACAAAATTTGCAAAGTCAATTATAGCTTAGGGACATGAAGTGCGCACAACTAACAAATAGGGACGAATCCTAAAATTACCTAACTTAGGGAGGAAGAGTGCAAGTTCCCCTTATATAAATAAGTCCTATATTCATTAACTACTAGTCCATATAAGACAAGTAAGCAACAACCATGCATCAATGAGAATATTAGCAAACCATATTTATGAAAAAAAGGAATGATCCAATCTTACTTTGAGATAGTCCTACAGCTGCAGCCTTCAACTTCTCAGGATTAACAGGGGTATATCTGTCACGTCGCAACTCATTTGCAGTTGAGGCTTGCAATGAGTTCTCTGAATTAGGCATCTGCCATCTAGAAAAAAGAATTTATCCATAAATGAAGATAAAGACAAAATCTGGAGTTCTTTTTAAGAGAAATGCTTTCTAAACATATGAGAAATAATAGCATTCAATTTCAATTGTTAGCAGACTAGTCGCAATATATCATATATCCACCCCTCCTAAACAAGCTAAGACTTAAAGAGGATTATGCTGTTTCTGAGATTCATCTGAACTAAAATTCAAGGAACAAAAGTTGTGTTCAAATTTTGAAGGAAATTGAAGAGAGAAAAACCTTTTAGGTCCGAAGGTGACTTGGGGGAGAGAAACATAAGCTTTGAGAGGGTTAAGAGCATGAGAGGGCACAGAAGAAGCGGAATTGGGGTCAGTTCTGATCACCCATCTGGTAGCTGCGGTGAGAGACGAATCGGAAGCGGTTGTTGCAGACTTGGGAGATTGGAAGATCTCCGGCGGCAGTGAATGTCTTAAAACCTCCGGCAGAACATCGGCGGCGTCGGATTCTTCGCT